ACGGAAGAGGATACGGAGAGGAGAGTGAGAGGAGAATGGAATCGGAGAGCAGAGCGAGACTCGAGAGAGGAAGAGGGGAGAGAGGAGAGAGGGAAACGGAGAGAGAGAGAGACTGAACGAGGATCGGAGCGAGATGGAGGAAGGCCGTGGACGCGAGGAGGAGAGAGGCCGAGAGGACGGGGGGTGGCGATCGGCGAGCGGCGGAGATGAGAGCGAGGATAATAGAGGAGGACGGAGGGAATGAGAAGTGTTGAGAAGGAAGAAGGGACGTGTGGAGGAGAGAGAGAAGGACAGGGAAAATGAAAGCGAAGAGAGAGAGAGATAGAATTAGGTCTAGAGAGAGAGGAAAGAGAAAGAGAAAGAGAAAGGCCAGAGAAAAAGGAAGAAGAGAGATGAGAAGTGAGAAGGCGAATTACGCGGGAGGACACTACGCAGCTGGAGATGGGCACTGGCGATCTGGGAGAAGGAGAACGACGAACGACGTAGAGTATGGAGTACGATCACTCTACTGCTGCAATGACGAGATCGAGAAGAGAGATTGGGAGCGCGGGATCGAGAGAGATGGATGATAAGAGAGAGAGAGAAGAGAGGATTGAGTAAGAACGGGATGAGGGGATGAGAGAGAGAGAGAGAGAGAAAGAATGAGGAGAGAGAGAGAGAGAAAGGAAAGAAGCATTGAAACAAACACAGACAGACGTAATGAATGAAAAATAGAGATAAGGAGCAACTGTAAATAGAAAATGAACAGAAAAAGAGATAGATGAATAGATAATAATAACAACACGAAGGTATAACAAAACCCGGATCCTGATAACAAAGGACAAAGAACGGTGAGATTAGATATGAGAAGAAACAAGAAAAGCAAGAGGAGAAGAAGAAGAAAAAAGAAAGAAAAATGACCGAACATACAGAATACCACTAATACTTGTTTTTACTCGCCCGTCACCGAGGTCAAATTTGAGGTCAAAGGGTAGAAGGAGAGGGGGGAGAAAGGCGAAGGAGAGGGGAGGGGAGGGGACGGTGGTGGTACTAGGAGGGGGAATGGGTGGGAGGGGAGGTGGGGTACTAGAAGGAGGGGATGGGTTGGGAGGGGAGGGGAGCGTCCTGGTGGTATAAGGAAGGGAGGGTGGGTATAAGGGAGGTCAGGGTGTGAACACGTGCGAAGAACAGGTAGTGGGGGTTGAGGGAGATAACATTTTTTTTTTTGTTAATTTTACTCGACATTTTGTGTTGCTTGGGCAATATTTGACCTACAACCACTTTTGTTTTGTGCAAGAGTCTGTCCACGTGGCGCCTCTAAGCCTATGCGTGATGTGTTCCTGTCTACCTGTTTATCGGCCTGCTTACTTATCTATCTATTTATCTATCTATTTATCTATCCATTTCTGTTTGTAGCTATCTCTTTATTTAATCATTTATTTCTGTCTATCTATGTTTCCGACCATTCATTTCTATATCTGTTTATCTAGGTTTCTCTCTCTCTCTCTCTCTCTCTCTCTCTCTCTCTCTCTCTCTCTCTCTCTCTCTCTCTCTCTCTCTCTCTAATCTACTCTCTCTCTCTCTCTCTCTCTCTCTCTCTCTCTATATATATATATATATATATATATATATACTATATACATATATATATATATATATATATATATATATATATATATATATATATATCTGTGTGTGTCTATGTATGATGTATATGTATATATATATACACATATCTATCTTTCTAAATATATATCATCTGTCTATTTATCTATCTATCTGTCTGTCTGTTATAGAAATATAGATACGTAGATACATAGGTATATATATATATATATATATATATATATATATATATATATATATATATATATATATATAGATATAGATATTGCGTTCTACCATAACTAATCTTTGTGATAAGAGAAGAATGTGTAGACGTCGGCAAATATTTTCAAAGGTATGTGACTGTGAACCGGAAGAGCGAGGCTTGAAGGGAGGAAGAGAAGAGAATGTAGCGACTGTGAACTTGAAAATGAGAGTGAGAAGGAGAGTGAAAGTGAATGTTTAAGTAGAAGCGCCAGCGACACGGACACACACACACACACACACACACACACACACACACACACACACACACACACACACACACACACACACACACACACACACACACACACACACACACACACAAAAAATAATAATAAAAAGAAAAAAAGAAAATGAAGAAAAAATAAAAAACAACAATAAAATTGACAATAAATAAATAGATAATAAGAACATAATATAAAAAAATACACCGCTATGTACTATTTATATGTATGTATGTATCCATATAATCAAAATAACCTTTTATGTGAATAACGCTCATTACCGTGACGTCAGACAAGGGATGAAGAGGATATGACGTTAACACACGAGAGCAGCGCACCAGAACCGCTAATCCAAAACAAGAAATAGAAAAAAAAGATAAAAAGAGCGAGAGAGGGAGAGATGAAAAAGGTCATTGTGCACTTGACAATAGAAAAAGATTAGAATTCAACGCTATTAAAATTCCCAGAGAGAGAGAGCAGAGAGAGAGAAAGGGGAGAAAGAGAGGAGGGAGGAGAGAGAGAGAGAGCAAGAGCGAGAGAGAAGAGAGAGAGAAGAGAGAGAGAGACTGAACACGCACACACACACACACACTAAATATATCGACACACAAGTGAACTTCATTTGCATAACGAGACGGAGAAAATACGAAGAAAAAATACAAGAAAAACGAAGCTATTCTCCACGTCTCACAGGGGGGGGGGGGGTTATCAAGGTATAGAGGAGGGGGGGGAAGATAAACGACATGCGTGGTCCTTGGACATGGGTAAGGCAGATAAGTGAGGGTAGAGGGGGGGGGCATAGGTATAGTCCGGGTAGGGGTGGAGTCTGGAGATAGGTTAAGGGGGGTAGGGAACAGGGAGAAGGGGGGGGGGAGAAGGTACAGTCATCCGATGTGACGTCAGAGCTCTGGAATGTTGCCTTCAAATGCCCCTGAGAATCGAGCTTTCTAGGAGGGGGTCGCCGGCTGCCTCCTGTCCGTGGTCCCATTCGGTAGCTTATAGGGTCCCTTTGTGAATGGGAGGGGCAGCTCGGAACTCACTCTCACTCTCTCTTTCTTGCTCTCTGTTTTATTCTCTGTCTCTCTCTCTCTCTTTCTTTTCTATTTTTGTTCGTTCTTACTCTTTCTTTCTTTCTTTTATTCTCTCTCTCTCTCTGTCTTGTCTTATATCTCTCTCTCTCTCTCTCTCTCTCTCTCTCTCTCTCTCTCTCTCTCTTCTCTCTCTCTCTCTCTCTCTCTCTCTCTCTCTCTCTCTCTCTCTCGTCTCTTATAACGTGTTTCCGTATTTCATTTTTTTTTTTCATTTTTCCTATCTCTACATTTTCTTAATCTAATATCACTATTTTCCTTTTCCATCTTTTCCCCCTTCTAACGTTCCTTCCACATTTTCATTCGTATTGACGATACTTCTCACCAAAAAAAAAACCTTGATTGGCTAATTGACCTCTATCCACTGACACAAAGCGCAGCGTGGGAACTGACCCCATTAGTCACCGGAATCAGTCAGGGCAAAGGACGACCTCCCTTTTCCTTCATTCGCGTGTGAGTCAGAATTAACTTCTTTTTTTTTTTTTATCCAGTTAGAGTTATTTGTTGATTTTTCGCAGCTGCAGGAAAGTGTGGTAATTAACCCCCTTTTTTTTTGTTTTTACCCAATTAGAGTATTTGTTGTATTTGTTGATTTTTCGCAGCTGCAGGAAAGTGTGGTTTGGGGGGGGTGAAGGAAAATTGGTGGTGAGGAAGGGAGTGAGGGAAAAAAGAAGGAGAAGGAAAGAGTGATAAGAGAGATTCAGAAGTCTGAAGGTGAGGAAGGGAGTGAGAAAAAAATAGGAAGGGGAGATGAGAAAGATTAAGAGGAAGGAGGAAGGAAAGAGAGAGAATGAAGGGAGGGAGAAGAAGAGGGAATGGGAATGAGGAGAAGAAAGGGTAAAGGGGAAGGGAGGGAAGATGGCAATGTGGGAAGAGAAATAAGGGAAAGGACGGGAGAAAACTGTAGATAAAGAGAGGAAACTTCAGGAGGAAAAGACAAAGAGAAAATGAGATAAAGAAAACGGGAAATGAAACTGAATGGAGAAGAAACAATCTAACCGTCCAAATGAGATTTGATAACATAAAGTAAAAAAAAAAAAAAAAGATGAAATAAAAAATTAATGAGGCAAATATAAAACCCTTCCCCCCCCCCTTATCAGTAAGATTTATTCAAGATCACAACCTCCCCTCTCCCCCTCCTCACAGTCTCCCCTCCCCTCTTACATCACTTTTCCCTCCCCCCTCCTCTAAACCCCCTCACCTTTCCCTCCCCCCACCTCCCTCTCCATTACTCCCTTCCCCCCTCCCTCCCCATCTCTCTTGCCCTCCTCCTCTTCCCTCTTACCTCACCTTTCCCTCTCCCCACCTCCCTCTCCCGTACTCCCTTATCCCCCCCCCTTCCCCTCCCCATCTCCCTCCCCCCCACCCCCTCCCCATCTCCCTTACCCCCCTCCCTCCTCCCATCTCCCTTACCCCCCTCTCTCTTCCCCACCCCGTACCCCCTCCCATTCCCTCTTACCTCACCTTCCCCCCCCACCTCCTCCCTTAGTCCCTTCCCCTCCCTCCCTTCCTCTTACGCCACCCCCTCCCTTCAGAGTCGGGAAATCACTGCCTTTTAGGAAATATAACGAATATACCGGGTATTTGTTACCGACTTTTGAAGATATTCCTAATCCCTTTTCCTTGTTTGTTTTTGGTTTTGGTATTTTCCTTGTTTGTTTTTTGTTTTTGGTATTTTCCTTGTATGATTATTTATTAATTTAATGAGATGCATGTCGGGTTTCTTTCCTTTGTTTTGTAATCGATGAATTAAAAGATATATAGTATATTTTGTAATCGATATATTAAAGATATATTATAGTATAAAAAGGAAAGGAAGATTCAATGCTTTTGATGAGTTATTATGGTATAAGATAACGGTGGTAATTATTAGAATGGTGACGAAAATAATACGATATTGATAACGATGATTATGATGATTATTATATCTTTGTTATTGTTCTTAATTGTACTGTTAATGTGTTCAAAGACCAAAAAGCAACGTTTATATTTTTTGTTTCTTTTCAGATTCGATCCCTTCCAAGTTTTCGAGGTAAGGACAAAAGAGGATTAGAACCTTCTTGTCTTATTAACTGGCTTATTTGTTCGTTTATTTGATTGGTTGTTTGCGTGTGTCTTTTTGCTTGCTTGTGTGTGTGTGTGTGTGTGTGTGTGTGTGTGTGTGTGTGTGTGTGTGTGTGTGTGTGTGTGTGTGTGTGTGTGTGTGTGTGTGTGTGTGTGTGTGTGTGTGTGTATGTATGTGTATGTGCGTGTGTATATACATGCGTGTGTGTAATTATTTACGCGTGTTTATGTGGATGTGAATATTTGTGCATCTGTACGCACGTGTGATTTTTTTTCCTGAAGATCATTTCCTCTCCATTTTCTTACCGTCACACGCACAGGGACTTCCGCCGCAGTATATCACAAGACCCGATGTGTAGTCATGCACACGCACACACCCGCGTCTACACAGGCGCACAGGAAGTAAAGGAGGGGAGCAAGAAAACAAAGTCTATCAGCCAGTTTGTTAAAATTGTGCCAGGCCCGACCCAGTGAATTTTCATGAATACAGATGCAGAAATAAAGGCATATCTGTCTGTATATCAGAAAGATATACATTTAGCCATCTATTTGCCGGGTAGATATGCATGTCCAGACTGATAAATATGCATTTATTTCTTTATTTATTCATGTCAAGTATACGAATATTCTTTGTGTCGGGCCTCGCACAATTTCAACAAACCGGTCGTATATAAGTACTTATACTTATATAAGTACTTAGACCTTGCAAGAGAACACAATTAATCATAAATACGCTTTAAGACTATCAAAAAGATTAAAGAAAGATTAAATTGTGGGAAAATATAACAATACAAAAGAACGTGCGTAGAAAACGAAATGAGGAACAGAAAATACGATAAAGGAGAAACATGGAGCTTATATGATCTCATTATTCTCTATCGTGTAATCTTTTTTACTGTCCTCCCATCTTCTCCATATATTTTAAATTCAAGCAGCCATAAGAGGTAGACGGTTCAGTGTGTTTGTTTGTTTGCTTGTTTATTTGTGTTTATTTGTTGTTGCTAGTATGTTTCTTTGTTTCTTTGTATAGTGTGTTTATTTGTTTTTTTTCTGTGTTTGTGTATGTGTTTGTATGTGTTTATATGTGTGTGTTGTTATATGTTTGTATGATTGCACCAGTTTTGTGAGAGATGCATTTCCAATAACAGTTCTCTTTATGCTTCTCCTTCAGGTTGAACACGAATCATGCCTGGACTTCGAGATCACAATCAAGCGAGGCGAGTCCATCACCAAAGGCAGTGCACTGAAAGATCTCAGTATGTATGAATTATGTTTTGAAATCATTATTATTGGCTCTGTCATTGTTATGATTGGTAGTGGTAGTAGTACTACTCCAATCTTTATTGTTATTGTCTTTCTTATGTAATTTTTGGGTATTATATATATTGTAAAGCCAAAGATGTCACACATGTATATATCTAGATCTGTATCATTTATAGGAGATTAATTACTTTATTTATATGTATGTATATATATATATATAATATATATATATATATATATATATATATATATATATTATATATATATATATATATATATATATGTATATATGTATATATATATACATATATATATATTATATATATATATATATATATATATATATATATATATATATATATATATGTATATTTATATCCATACTTTCATTTTTGAAACAACAAATTTTTCAACATTACTTTATCTCTTTCAGTGGACACTCCAGACCCATACGTCATCCTGAAGATCCCTGGCTGCTCTAACTCCTCCAAGAGAACCAGCCATGTCGATAACTGTACAAATCCCCTTTGGAATGAGACGTTTCACTTTTATTTAGATCCGGGAAAGGAACACATTTTGAGTACGTATTTTGGGGGTTCTTTCTTTGTAAATTTGTGTGGTTCTTTTATGATAGTTTCAAGGGAGTCAGTTTTTGATTGTCCTACAGTCTGCTTTATTGTGTTATATACAATTTTGTAAGTTAAAGACAGTGCTAATTTCTCCTTATATGTAAAGCCAGTGATAATACTCACTGTATATTTTGTTCTGCAGAGGTATTGTTAATGGATGCCAACTACACGGTGGATGAAACGCTCGGTGAAGACACATTTTGTGTCAATGAACTTACCAATGACATCACAGTTGAACACACATTCATCTTCCCAGGAGGTTCAAAGGTTCACACAGAGCTCAAACTACAGAAAAAGTATGTTTATTAAATGTAGGAACTGTATATATTGACATTATTTTATTGTTAGGGAGATAGAGAAAAGTCTGTAAATTATATTCATGAAAATACAGTATATATATGTATCTTATCTAGCCATCAAATACTGCAAATCAGAAATAGGATTTGATTAGTTTAATATCAAGCATTAATGTCTTAATTTACTATAATGAGCAAAAGTAAATGCTATTCATTATTACTAATGGAATAATCTATATAAGTGAAGCTGGTGTAGTTCTAACAGGATATTTTTTCTCCAGCAAAACTCCAGACTTGCGGTTCTCTCTGGCGCTGTGTCAAGCAGAGAAAACCTTTCTACGAAGTCGTCGCAGGAAGGTTCTTGAAGGGATGCAGCGTATTTTAGGTGCCAAGGCGCCAAGCACTGAGAAACAGGTACGGCTTTGTTTCCTCATGACTGTTATCTTGATCTCTGATTAGCTTTGAATTCAAATAATGAAGATGAAAGCCTGATTATCTTTTCGACAAAAATCTAAACATATCACTTATGACTCATAAACTGAACTGTGACTAACTTCAAATTCACATAGTGAAGCTGGTAGAAAAATTAGCCTTTCACCAAAAATCTTAACATAACAATGCTTGTAAAGAGAAAGTAATAGTATTTTGTGATACTTTGAGTGAGATTAGACATCAAAACTGAAAACAAAACATTTGAATTTATGACAATGTTCCATATCATGCTTTTCTTCGATTCTTTAACCCAGTGATATAATCCTACATAGTCTTCCATCCAGAAATGAGTTATTTATTGTATCTTATTGTATTACTTATTATGTATTACCAAGTATCTTACTGTATTATGTATTATATATTGCCAGGTATCTCATTGTATTACTTATTATGTATTACCAGATATCTTATTATATTATTTATTGTATCATTATCAGGTTCCAATCTTAGGTATTCTGGGATCAGGTGGAGGTTTCCGAGCCATGATGTGCATGAGTGGGGCTGTGAAGGCGTTGCAAGAAACGGGAATCCTGGACTGTGCAACCTACATTGCGGGTCTCTCTGGGTCTTCCTGGTAAGTACTGGATAGATGAAGAATACTTTTTAGTTTTATGGTTTTCAGTTTGGGGTGATGCAATATTGGTATTGAATGTGTATTTACATGAGGGTAGTGGATATTAAAGCTGTTTTTTTTGGGGGGGAGGAATTGTTGTTATTAATATGATAAGAAAAAAAAGGCATTGACATGTAAACTTCAAGGTATATATACAAAAGTACATTTTACATTTCCTCATCTTCACAGGTACATCTCAACTCTCTATGCCCACGACAAATTCCCAAATGTAACACATGACCAGATCCAGAAAGAACTCCGGGCATCAGTAACAAGTGATTGGAAGTGGAAGCTGCTCAATTCAGCATCTTACGTCACCAGTATGATTGCCAAGTACAAACGAGGCCAGCCAGTATCGTTCACAGACTTCTTTGGACATCTACTGGGTGATGTCCTCTTAAAAGGGGTATGTGTCTTATTCAGTCTTCCTTTTTGGATTTTTTTTTTTTTTTTTTTTTTTTTTTTTTTTTTTTTTTTTGTACCTTTAGCAGGATATGCTTGTCATTTGATTCATCTTTATTAAAGATAAACTGTGATAATGATAATTATAATAAAGATGATTACTCTCATTCTCTTAATTCAAACCATCAATCATTTGTCACTTCCAAACTATGACATCATGACTCATAAAATTCTGAAATCATTTCAGGCCAAGCACAAAAAGCTGACAGACACCCAGAAAATATTGGTCCAAGGCATTGTGCCTATGCCTCTGTACACATGCCTCCATGCCAAGAGGAATGTCTCATGCCGCTCTTTTTCGGTAAGCTTTTGTCTTCATAGTTTACAAAGGAATTTAAGGAATTGCTTACTTGTTTGTGAAAGGACATGCTCTTTATTAGTATGATTATTAAGGGAAATGATGCTTAATGGTTGATTTATTATTATTTTTTTTTTTACAATCATCAGTAGTAGTTGTAGTAGTAGTATCATCAATATTAATTCCTTCTTCCTGATATTCCAGGAATGGGTAGAATTTTCACCATATGAGATTGGTATCGCTAAATATGGTACTTTTATGAAATCTGAAGATTTTGGAAACAAGTTTATAGTAGGGAAGAAAATCAAGCATTTCGAAGAACTGCCTTTACATTTTCTGCAAGGTAAGGTCAAGATTATTCTCTTTGTCTGAAAATTTCCCTCTCTCTCCATTCTGTAATATATCTCTGACCCCTTTAAAATGTTATGCTAAACCCATATTTCTCATTAGTGATAAGATACATGAATTAATGTGTATGTATATATATATATTTATATATTATAATATATATATATATATATATATATATATATATATATATATATATATATATATATATATATATATATTATATATTATATATATATATAGCTATTATCATCGAGGTCTTTCTTATTGACGCTATACTTCCTCTTCACAGGTGTGTGGGGAAGCGCATTCACCATCCTCATCAAGAGGTTAGTGATGGAAGGTGGAAAGAAGGACATCGTACAGATTATGAGGGATGCACAGAAAGAAAATGATTTGCATGGTGAGTTATTCTTGCATTATCCTTGTTGATATTTCTATGTTTACTTCTCCAATTGTTTCTTCTATTATGTAGCCTGGATTTTTAAAAAATGTTGTTGTATGTATATGCATAAAACAGTTGTTTTTGAAGTAATATTTGCTGATTTATTAGTTGACTTGAAGTTGGGAAAATCGTAAAGAGTTGAATATTTTCTGCCTTTTCAGATAAGATCGACGACCTACACAGCTCAGGAGATGATTCAGAAACAGAGGACGAAGAAGACATTGAAGGCCACGATGACAAGGAGATTGATGATGAAGAAGAGATCAGCATGATGAAGTTGAGTCTCGCAGATCAGCCAGCCAGTGAGGATGATGCCTCAGCCTCTGCTGCTGGCAAGAGTGGGGATGCTGAGGCCACGGAAGAAAGGCGCCGGGTTTCAGTTGCTTCCATGGAGGCCAAACCTCAACCTGAACAGAAGACTTTCAAGAAAGGTTTGAACAAGATTGCAAAGTCGATGGATAGTCTACTAGGCACCTCATCTAGCAACAAAGCCCAGAGCACAGAGGAGGAGGCATCAGAGAGCCGAGACATCTTGCCTAAAGCTTTCAGTTTTGACACAACAAAGAGGAAAGTCTCCAGGGACAACCACAGGAAGTTCAGCACCGAGAGTGACCCTGGAGTTAGGACGGAGTTTCAGGCACAGGGAGGTTCGAGGCTGGTTCGCCAGGGAGCCATCAAAACGGCACGTCTTAACAAGGCAAAGAAAGTTGATGACAAGGAGGAGGCTAATCCTGGGCAGAAAGTGTGGGCTGAGAGGAGGTGAGTTGAAATTTGTTTGTCCAGTCATAACTGTCTGCTTACCTGCCTTTCCTTCACATTTTCTTCTAGTTATTTTATATTTAGTTCATAGTTATTATCAAACTGCATTCTGACTAAATACATAAACAATCTATAATGATATATACAGACAGACAAATAGGTATATTGAACATATATTTATGCATTTACTTTTGGTTTCAGAAAAACCCTCAGAAAGACCAGAGTTGAGAAAAAGGCAGGTTTATGGGAAGGCCTGAAGCAGAATATCATGTTGGGCACCAACATCCTCAACTCTCGAGCTGGAAGAGCAGGAGAGGTCCTGAACCCCTTCCGAGGACTTTCCCTCAGACACTCATTCCCAATCTCTCCTTTTGCAACAGATGGAATGGAAGAGGAAGAAGATCAGGTTGACTCAGGTAAAGATTATTTTTCTTTTCTTTCTTTTTCGTTCCAAATATTATTCTTTCCTGTTAATCTTTTTGTTTGCCCTTTTTCTTTAATTATCTTTAGTATATCTCTCACTGAATGTGTATTTTATTTTTAGTTTATTTGCAAGATCTGAACACATCCTAATATGCTTCTAATACCTTGTTACAGATAACTTTGGGGCAGGCTGTAGGTATGAACCACTAGATAATAAAGCCAAGAAGCTGTTCATCGTAGACTCTGGCTTGGCTTTCAACTCTCCTTATCCACTGCTCTTGAGGCCACAGAGAGCTGTTGATATATACCTCTCCTTTGACTTCTCCCAGAGGCCTGAGGACAAATCGCAGCCTTTCAAAGAACTGCTTTTGGCGGAAAGATGGGCAATACAAAATAAGGTTCCTTTCCCACCAATAGAAAAACAGGTATGTTTCCTTTTTGTAAATAACTGTAACTGATATTTTATGAAAGGCAAATCTTGGTATTATATTAAATTAATTTAGAATAATATTTAACAACAAGAATGCTGAAGGACTAAATATATGTGGCTAATTCAAATATGATTTCCAGTGACATAACTTATGACAATCCTAACTTATGAGTACATTTAATAGATTATTTATGGGAAGGATTTGATTGGCTTAATCGTGGATAGAATATAAGAGTTCTACCTTGTTCTAAACTCCTAAATTCCTTTCAGGTTGCGCAGTATGAGAATGAAGAGGTTCGAGAGTGTTACGTGTTCAAGCACCCAATGGACCATTTCTGTCCCGTTATTTTGCATTTCCCTTTAGTCAATAACAACTTCAGGAAGTTCAAAGCTCCAGGTATGTTTGACAGATGCAGAATTTTAATTTAGTTTATGTAATGCTTTCTGTGAGTTACTGTTTTTTACTTACAATCTGTATGTTGATTTGATTACAAGAGTAAATTTCCTATAGAAATAATGAGGCAATGATTGAAAACAGTATATGTCTTTCTTATTATTTGTTAAGTAATAGAAGAGGTATGTAGGTTTAATTGACTTTTTTTATTTTTATCTAGGAGTACCTCGCGAAACTGAAGAAGAAAAGGAGTTCGCTGACTTCCCCATCTTCGACGATCCCAACAACTCCTTCTCATCCATGAACTTTGTCTATGAGCTTGAGCAATTTGACCGGCTGACAAAGCTCATAGAATTCAACACCCTCTTCAGCATAGACATCATTAAGAAGGAGCTCGAGGAAATCACGGAAAGAAAGAAGAGCTGCTTGACTTCAAAGACCCTGAGTTTGAGTGATGTAGTGAAGACCGTTAAGCGTGTGTCGAGTTTTCAGAATAAGAACCGCGGGAGAGAACTAAAGTTAACCGTGTCTCCGCAGAATGAAGATCTGTTGAAAAAGTATGCGAATGTGAATAGTCTTACGGAAGCAGACAGTTCTGATGAGGAAGAATACACTGATGCTCTTCAAGAATTGTGAAAAATGAGGGTGAAAGCATTTTTAAATTATTTATAGCGACAGCTCAAATTATTGAGCTAAGTGACCAATGACTTAAGCCCATGTCTGACCATGCTAAATGGTAGTGCAGTTCCTTCTTTATATTATTTTTCTCTTTTCATTCTCCCTTGTCTCCTTTATGTCACGTGACCTCTTACCATTTTTCTCTCTATATACTACTTTCATTCCATCATCAGTCGTAAAGGAGGCGTTTGATTTGAATGTGACTGCTGAGGTATTCTTAATGTTAAGTGTGGTTACAGCTGAGAATCTTACTTATCTTTTACAAAGCTGCATGTACTCAAATGATTGCTGCAGAACCAATTGTTTGTGCTTTGCGAATAACCAATACATAGAGATGTGTTATACTATATTTTGGCTAATCTTTGGTTTTATGCCATTCATGATATCAGTTCATAAGTTGTGACCTACATTCTGGGTATTCATGTTACCAAGCTTTTACACTAACCTTTTGCAATTTCTACTTTCGTAAATGAGAAACAAGCATACTGCTTTATGAAAATAGGACAGGAAAATGCAAGATTCCTATAACATTAGATAGATATGTGCATATCATTTTTATCATATTATCATATATGATCATGTGTGGAAATGTGCATCTGTTATATATTCATGGATGATGTCTCATGTTGCATTATTAGATCTTCATTCTTTACCTGGTCTCTCAATAAGTAGAGAGAGAATGCTCATGTAAACTATATGTAGGTTCAAAGGTGCCTTGGGGAACATTGAATGTGTAGCTGGCTGTTGGTGATATATTTCTTTGAATGCTGTACAAAGTGAAGATTTAGTTACAAATGAAGTATATCAACAGAGTTTTGCCTGTGATTAAGATGAAAGTTGAATGCAGGTGAAATACAAGTAATATGTAAGGTTTATTTGCTTTCATTTTAAAGACATTGAACAGGATATCTGCAGCGACTGATTAATTGTAATACAGATTCAGTTTGACTGCATGATTATGATTAAGACATATCTGGGGTCTGTGGTAAAGTTACATTTTTTCTTTAGCTTTGACAAAGAAGCAAGGAAAGGTTTACCTGTGATTGAAATGACACTTTTGTATTATTGAATATTAGGGTACTCTGTGATGGCTGTACAAAGTTAATCTATTTATTTCCACGTTGTAATGTATTGTTTGCACACGCCTGTTACTTGTTTAAGGGCAAAAATACATTTCCAATAAAGAAAATTACATAAAAGCACTTTCTCACTTAGCCTTTTTCCCGAAAAAAGAGTAAAGACTCAGAGCACATTGATGATACTGAAGACTAGGTGCTGGATATATGCTGAACTTATAGAATTGTTATGTGAAGGCGTAAAATGCCCTTCACTTACATAATGATTTTTTTTTTTTTTTTTTTTTTTTTTTTTTTGTAAAACAACCAGTGTCAATTCCGGTGATAAACAATGAATTAACAGCGGTAAGAGCTTACTTCCTGTGCCTCAATATCCGCCCTTATTACAATCCACAACAAACCGTGAAATATGAAATAAGTCGAACTTCTTCATATACATTTCCGTTGAAGCAATACAACCAAAAGTTTATTACCGTGAATATATCGATGCTTACAGATGACCGCATTTTCAGCTAGTTGGTCTGAGAACAAGTGTGGACGCACATCCCAGTTGAGGTTCGAGAAAGGCCTCCTATGAGGATAGTCGCATCCTGTAGTGAATGAACATACGTTGAAGGATTAGCAGGCTTCTACTGGAAATCTTGTAACACTGTAGAATCACAGAATGAGCATCTTCCCTTCATATGGTGGAAAAAATTAGCCTTTTTGGAACATTCCCAACCCTCTCGTGTTACCTAATGGTCACTACAAAACACGATATAATCGAAGTTTGAATTGACATGCAAAGTTTTGAAACAAAAGGATAAGTTATTTTTTATTTAATTCTTAAAAAAAAAAAAAAAATGATACTAAATCTGATGGTAAAATTTTCCATCACAAGCAAACTATTGTACCTAACTACTCTGCAATTTATATTGTTTATACACACCAATCTTCACCGCATAACGGGAAGCTCTCAGATATATTTCAGTTTCAGTAAAAATAAAATCTTATTACACAGCATTTCCTTTGCTATTTTTTGCGGCTGCAAGGCTATATCAGAGAGTTACAAAATGATATTGAAGATCTAAATCGCACCGAAGTCAATACATTATAAATTCGTTTCAGCTTCCGTTATGATTGACTTCTATCATTACTCATTCAGAAAGAACATGTATTTGATATGCTGCTGAAAAGGCATAGAAAAACTTTATATAAAAGGTTTGTGTCAAGAAACATACGATGCGATTCATAATCAATGAAAATCCCAATCTGAAGAATAGTATAATATATTAAGGAGTATCGTGCTATGATTGGCTAGCCGGGGTGTCTTCCAGTGTATTAAGGAAGAGGCAAATACACTGGCACAATAGACATTTCAACAAATTCCAAAAAAGTACGCGTAAAGAGCAAACAAGTATCAAAGTGTATTAAAATGTTAGTTGTTTTGGAATGCCGCAGAAAAGGCCTCAAAAGAGAGGGAGTGGGAGAGAGAGAGAGAGAGAGAGAGAGAGAGAGAGAGAGAGAGAGAGAGAGAGAGAGAGAGAGAGAGAGAGAGAGAGAGAGAGAGAGAGAGAGAGAGAGAGAGAGAGAGAGATTGAGTGGGAGATGCACATATATTGGGAGAGTCACATAAGCAAACATCAATAATTTTGTATGTTGTCCATCGGGTGCCACTGCCGAAGGTGCTTGTCCTCGCAGTGTATCATGTTGCACTCGTGTTCCGGTCGATTAGACAACTCGCAACGATTTCTAAGAAATATGTAAATATCTGAAACTGCCAATTGAATTTATACATACATACACACATACACACCCACTCTCTCACGCACACATATATGTCAGTATATATATGTATAGATAAACATATTCATCTACATACATATATTTATTTATATGCATGTATATATCAACACATGCACACACATTCACATTCATTTATTTATTCATTAATTCATTCATTTACATATCTCTTTATATAAAACAGATTGCAACCTGGGCGTATTTGTCGTTTGCATTTTTTTTTTTTTTTTTTTGCACCGAATACTCAAACGCATTACGGCGCCTTTCTCTCTGTCGCCAAACATACGGCCGAGTGTTCCTACGCAAGGTCTATTACAAGTACTTATATAGACCTTGTTCCTACAACCCATACACGTAGGAAGGGGCTCGCCATACTGGTTTAAATCAAGGCTCCTAACAGTGGGACAGGGAGAGCAGCCTTAAAACAATAAATACAACCTTACAATTTCTGCTTTGCTCAATTATGTTGTTATTAGGTGTGCATGAACCAATCGTGGCTTTACGCTTCTACTATAAGTACTGTCTTCATCTATGTAATGTGAGTACTTTGTCTTTATTGTTATTACTGTGAATGTTTTTTATTTTCATTATTGTTAACCATTTAGATCTTATTTCAAGTATTGTTTGTTGGCTGGTAATAAGTATGAAAACCAAAGCTAAAATTACTCTTGTAATATTAGCCATCCTTTCGTGGAGACAATGCTTCGTTCCTAATTTTCACGGTACTCATGCATTCCGTTTATAAGATCAAATTCTTATAAGGAACCTTGCATATTTCTTCTGCATTACTAATTCTAGAATATATTAGGCCGCAAGAAGGAAAGTTCCTGTTTTGCGTCCGGGCAAACAATGAAAATTGATGGAGCCTTTTTTCATTATTCATTACTTATATCTATATGCATATAAAGAAGAGGACAACAGCTTTTCAAAGTCATCCAATCAACTTTTTGTTGTTAATGACACTTTTCATTCATATTTACTAGTAAAAGTTTTCTCTCTAAATAGCATGATAAGAGAACAGCATTTTAGTCATTTTTTCGAGGGGGGAGGGGGGATGAACAACGAAATTTATTGAAAATAATGAGTATTTTTGTTGTGCGATGGACAAAACCGGAACTTTGATTCTCATGGCCGTAGTTAAGTTTCATTATGCCATGCGCTGGACACAGGCTGTGTTTACATATAACTCAGATAATCAGCATTTGCGGCATGTGCTTGGTCAAGATTCCCTAAGAGCCCTCTGAAATAACAGCAGTGATTGGCCACTGAAGATCCGACGCCGTCAGCGATTTGAGGCATGCGGGGTTTAAGGCGGCGGCAGGGCGTCCGAGATACCGCGCCGCAGGCGAGCTGTGACGTAGACCTTGGCCGCAGGGCAATTGAGCCAGAGCAGAAACAGACTCATGGTTACCGGATGCGCTGTGATTGGCTAGGATTGGTCGGGTCGTGATTGGCTCCGAAACTATGATTCACAACTGCTGAAAGCTGATTTTTGTGAGCATATAGTAATTCCCATCAGCAACTACCTCTTTAGTTTCGTTATGAAATACCTCTGAATCAAGCTCAAAATCTTCGCTGTTGTTTTCCCTCAACAAGTGTTCCACGCCATTCACAACCTTCAGAAAATACGTTTTCACTACTGGAGTGACAGCCCTGTTTGGGGCCACCAGCGTGTTTTTACTTTTAAGGGACCTTCATGTTTTTTCAGCCCCTGCTGACTGCGACATGTCAGCAGGAGGTCCTTGCTGATGATTCTAACCTGCGATCGTGTATCCGAATTTGGGCGCCCGAACCCACTCGACCACTGAATTAGAAATGGCATTTGTGTGACTATTTTTCTTCAGGTGTGTATGTGTATGTTTGTATTTGTGTTTCGGTGTGTGTGTGTGTGTGTGTGTGTGTGTGTGTGTGTGTGTGTGTGTGTGTGTGTGTGTGTGTGTGTGTGTGTGTGTGTGTGTGTGTGTGTGTGTGTGTGTGTGTGTGTGTGTGGTGTGTGTGTAGCGCCATGCGTATTATTTATCGAGAAGTATGTGTGCGTGTGTATGTGAGTGTATACATTTCACATGTATTGACATCATCGAGCACACTCACATTTCTGATGCTAGTTTACACTACAACTGTTTGTGGTAATGGCGTTTGTGGTAATGGGTAATGCGCAACTCCCCCTTTGCACAGCATTGAATTCAGATGAAGTAGATTACTTTAGAATAGTCTGTCCTAGAAAACGGGAAGAAAACCACCACTTTTTATCCTGTTCATAGAAAATGAAAATATTACATGGGGGACTTCTTGTTTATATTCGATGACCTCAGAAACAAGCGGAGATGAATAGAAAGATGTAAATAACACACTCATATTTGAATATATGATAGTCTAAAGAGTAGAGTTACATAAAGGAGGTGAGGACAGTAAGGATGAAGACTCATTCTTCTTTTATAATGTGGTTATCATTATTGAAATAATTTTCATTATTACATTTTAGTTATCTTTATTCCCATCGTCATTATTTTTATTGCTGTCATTATCATTATAATTATTGTTATCATTATCATTATCATCATCATTTTACCATTATCATTACTTTAATCATGGTTATCATTATCATCATTATAACAATGATAATGACAATAATGGTAATTGTAATAATAAATATGATAATGATAATTGTTATTGTTATTACTATCATAGTTGTTATTATCATCTTCATTATCATTATTATGTCTATTATTTTTTCTAATTATTATTATTATTATTATTAACATTCTTCTTATTTCTTCTTATCATAATAATAATAATTATTATTATTTTTATTATCATTATTATTCTTATTAGTACTATTATCATCATTATAGTTATTATTGTTATCATTATTATCATTATTGTCATTATTATTGTCACTATTATCACTGTCAATTTTGGTTTACAAAATAAAGAGAATGAATATCTTCACAATACAAAAGATGCATTTGACTTGTTTCGCTTTTATATCCGTCAGAAAAAAAACATGCCTTTCTAAGAGATATATAATCAAAACCAGTCAAATATTTTCAACATTTTTGCAATGAACAATGTTCATTATAACCATCATCATTATTATTATGTGTTGTTATTATTATATTATCATTATCCTCATCATTGATTATTTTTATTATCACAATGCTGATGATTATGATGATGATGATGGTGATGATAATTGATCTTTATAATCATATAACCATTTATGATAACATTGATGATAATAGTTATAGTAATGATGATGATTATCATTGATATCATAATATACACCATTTTTGTTATTACTATCATTATCATTATTATCACCATTACTCTCTTTGTAGTTA